GGCTGAACTTGATCCTTGCCCTCTGTCAGCCTTCCCTCCTAAACTGGGCTTGTGTTTGTTTTCGTTTTGGCCTTTGCAGGAAGTGGAGCCCATGGCCATGGAGTGTGACCACATCCAGATCACAGCCCTGTCACAGGCACTGAACATTGCCCTGCAGGTGGAGTACGTAGACGAGATGGACACCGCGCTGAACCACCACGTGTTCCCTGAGGCAGCCAGCCCTTCCGTTTACCTGCTCTATAAAACATCCCACTACAACATCCTTTATGCAGCCGATAAACATTGATTACTTTTGGGCCAAGCAGTAGAGCCTGTCACCTAACGGGACCGCATTCTGAATGGAACATTCCGGCTTTTCAATTTTTTAAGCGATTTAGCCTGTAGCTAGAAAATGTACAGCCTTCCGGGCAAAGCCACTGGGAATGAGGCCTCCCCGTTATGGACTGTGGTAACTTGGTGATCCTGTTAGTATTTATTTTGATGAAGGATCAGATGCTTTCTAACTCTGGGTTGGGAAGCCAGGGGGCCTGGCTCTGCTCCCAGCTCCCTGAGAGACGCTGGGTCGGTCACCTGTGTGGGCCTGTTTGTCTGGAGGAAGTTCCTGCCAGTATTGACTTTCGATTATTGTAGAAAAATGTCGTTTCTGTTCGCCAGGGGCGGGGCCTCTCCAGAGGGCTGGAAAGCTCAAGGTCACACTTGACTCAAGTGACTTACCAGTTCTAGAGAAAGGAATCAAGTCCAGTCAGTTGGATTGGACTTTGGTGGATGTGACTGAAGCATTGGCCTGCTGAGGCTAACTTGAATGTGGAGGATTCAGTGTGGAACCAAACATCCGTGATGGGAGTAAGTTTTCCTATCCCCAGCTTAAGCAAAAAGAAAGAGGCTTTTGTGCCAAAGTCCAGAAGGGACCTGTGGCCTTCAGCATGAAGCTCATGTTAGGAGCCCAGGCAGAAGGGGCCCCCTCTACCTCTTGAAGGGCCAGGACTATGTGACTTTTGGAGGGAAGACCCTTCAGAGTTCTGTCAGCCCCACCTGACACAGGCCTGACAGAGTGGGGTCTGGTCCGAAATCCACGTATTTGTCTGGGACCAGGAAGCTGCAGTTGTCCCATGATCCCCAACAAGTCCTAGGCGTACTTTTAGATGCTTGGCCTGTGGAGACATGGGCACATGCAGCCGTGGGCTCCAGCTGAGCAGAGCAGACATTTTTCAAGGCTGTCTTTGGCTTCTGCACCCCTTTCCCCTTCTGTTCTACTTATGGGCTGGTGCAAGCTCAGGTGGCAAAGAACAGGGACAAGCTGAGGAAATTGGCAGTGGGGCAGGAGACTTCTCACTTACTGAAAACTGCCTGGTAGCCCAGAGCCCCAGACAGCAGCCTCCTTCCTCATCCACCTGAACGTGACCTCTTAATAACCTCACCTTGCTGCCTCAGGACCGCAAGAGCCCCATCACTGGGCTAGTGGGCGAGAGACCCCAGTGGGGAAGCAGACACTGGCCGGGCTGAGGTGCTGTTCCCTCTGCGGGAGATGAAGAATACAGGGCTGTGGGGTCACCCTTTGGGAACTTCCTTAATCCCAGGCCTTCTCCCAGGGTTCATTGCAGGGGATTAATTAGAATCTATTGGTGCTGCCGTGAGTCAGCTAACAACCAGACTGCACAGGAAGAATGTTAGCAGATTCCTCAGAGTTCTGTTTACACACATCTCGCTTCTGTCACTGTTCTGCCTTTGGGAAAAGCCAACAGTCCTCTAAGACACATGTCAGGGGGACTTTCACTCCAGGCAGGACCCAGGTTCCCATACTGCCCTCAGCTGGGACTTGGACAAGCTCGAGCTGAGTGATGATGTCACTTTTCCACAGTAATGCCAACCTAACCCGTCTGCCCATTGTCCCACCCTGCTCTGCAGTGCACTGGAAGAGTGGGGGGACACGCTTTGTGATGGGTGAATAGCATCCTCTTTGCCAGACAAGGCTCCAGAGAATCCCTATTTCCAAACTGAAGGGTGTGACCACATGGGGTACCCGACGGAGCCGCCCTTGGCTGCTCTGAGGGGTGGTAAGACGGGGCCCTGAGCCTCCCTGACAGGGCTCCCAAGGCTCCGTGTTTATGGCTTGTGCAGCGTTCTCAAAAGCAGACCTCTCTTTGGCAGACTGGCACGATGGCGTTCTCTGGTGAGAACTATCTTGTGCTTCCAGGCCAGAGAGCTGCCATGCTCATGTGGGACGTCCTTCCCAGGAGAGAGCCTCAGTGCAGAGGCAGAATGCCCAGGTCTGGCGGAGGCCAGCCAAGCCACTATCATGGCCCTACACTCTGCTTCTCCCTTTTTTTCACAAAGCCAATGGCCAATCCAAACCACTGCCTTCAGCCCTCCACATCTGCCCTCAGAGCTTGTATGGGGCACTAGCAGTGCAGAGGAAAAGGAGTGGCAGAGTTTAGTGTCACTTTCGGTAACTTGGTAAACTCACTTAGCTTGCTCGCTACGGCAGCCAGTCATGTTGACCACACATTTCCTGATGAATTCTCCATGAATTCCATGAATTCTCCACCCCATGAAGCCACCTCTTTCCAGACAAAAGCTGGAAGAAAAGTTGTATGACAGCTTATCTTGACAACTGCACATTTATTTTCTTTCCAGAGGAAACTTTCTAAGCCAATGGGAATATTTAGCAACAGAAAAGCGTAAACTGCCCTTGCTTTTGATTGAGGTTCCTGTTAGCACAGACTGAAATAAAAGGACCCTGAGCCAGACTGCCCGGGTTCAAACCTCAGCTTTGCCACTTGCTAGCTGTGTGACCTAGGACAAAGTCACTTCCCCTGTCCGAGCCCCAATTTCCACATTTGGGCAATGTAGACAGTACCTTCATCCCAGGATTGTTGGTTAAAATGGAGTGAGATTATGTGTGTAAGGACAACTGATACCTGACATAGTAAGTGCTCTACAAACGGGATGTTCCCCAACCTAGCCGCAAGCAGGGAAGCAGAAGGGCACTGCACGATGGTGAAGCGCGGCACCTCAGCAGTGACTCTGTGGCTTCCCGAGCAGTGGGAGGTGTCAGGGAAACCAGAAGTGGGGTGGGGAGGGGGCCGTGGCTCAGTGAATGGCTGCCAGGGGCCCTCGGTCCTGAGGGATGTGGGCCGCACTTGCAGCTTCCCAGGGCAGTTGGTGAAAACATTTTCCCAGCATGAAAATGGTTTCCACAGTAGCTTGTGTCCTGGCTTGTCATGTGGTCCCTGACATGCACTGGAGAGCCGTGCTCTCCTGGGGCTCCTGCGGGCGAGTGGTTCAGTGGGGAGGGTGGGCACTGTCGCAAGGCCCAGGCTCCTAGTTCAGTGGCAGATCCAGGGCTCCGGGAACAACACTGGGGGCCAAGGAAGCCACAGGCCTCACGCAGCCTCACCTCACCAGGTGGGAGGGCAGAGCTGCCTGGGAGCCTGGCCCTAGCTTTTAAGACCCACCTTTTAATACCCCTCCCCTCAAAAAGGAAAAAAAAAAATGCTATTAGAGGCAAAAGGGGAGGCTATCGGTGGATAAGAGTGGATCTCTCTCCCACCTGTCACATGGCCCCAGGCCTCCCATGGCTAAGGAACTGCTTATTAACCCTGCTGACCTCCAGGCACCATTTGGAAAATGAAGAATCCCTCTGCCAAAAGCCGGCAGCTCTGAGTCAGGAAGGAGGCTGGGGCTGACCCCGCAGGCTGGAGCCGGTTTCCCTCTCGCCTATCTTCTGCCTCCTGCTCCTCTCAAGGTCACCAGGGACACTGCGCAGGCATTCCTTGGCAACACTGCTGTCTTTAAAGCAGTTTTATAAACTTGCCCTGGGCCCAGAAGGAAGACCCCCCTGGGTTCTAATCCCAGCTGTGCCACTTGACTGTTGGGTGATCCTTAATCACGAAGTGTCAGCTTCCTTAACTATTACAAGAAAGTATTTATTAAAATTCACGTCAGCGCCTTGAGAAAGACTAAATGATACACAGAGTAAAGTGTCTCAGTGTCTGACATGTGGTCAAGACTCAATGACCCCTGCATCTGAATACGGGCATGAGGCCAGGTGTCCTCACAGCCGTCAGCCATCCATCCTCCCAACCTTGCGTGCCATGAGGCGAGGGAGGGCGGGTTACTTGGATCTTGGGGTATCTGGGTCCATTCGTGTACTCTCTTCAAATGCATGGGTGCCGCTGAGCCGAGCAGCTGTACTGGGCCCTGATTAACGACTGTTCGTGAGTGGACAATGAGCTGTTCAGAAGCCTCCCTGATTGTGGCAGCTGTGGCTACTCACCCAGAGCAAGCCAGAGACGGCTGGGGCAGCCTCAGGTCCTTCACTCCCTCAGTGTGTATTTTCACCAGGCCCTGACCTCAGCAGCGGGCTGCATGGGGGGATAAAGCAGGCTCTCCCCCTAACTCACGGCCTGAGGCGGTCAGCCAGCAGGCAAACACCACAGTGGCAAGTGCTATGGAGAGGTGAATGTGGGGTGCTGTGGGAGCCCGCAGGAGGAGCACTTCACCCTCCTGGGGACTTGGGGAGCTAAAGGGCATCTGCGCTCCAGGATGGAAAAGGCAAACGGCAATCCAGGCCGAGGGCCAAACCTGTGCACAGGACCACAGGCACAAGCCGCTCTGTCATACAGAGATGGAGGAGGTGGAGACGAGGCTGGTGAAATAGGCAAGGGCCAGAACCCAGGGCCTCGCTGACCCGACTCGTCACACCGTTACTGCTCCCCCACAATTAGCTCGTGACCTCTGGGGAAGCCTCTGTCCTCTAGGAACCTGAGGACAGCAATTTCTTCTACCCACCTCCCAGGGTGGCTCCGACACCGCAAGTGCCATGAGCCAGGGGTAGAGAGCCGAGGAGCTGTTGGGGTTCTGCGGTGGAGAAACCAGAAACCACAATGAGGAGACATGCAGAAATGACTTCCCGGCGATCTGTACAACTCTCCGGCCTCCTGCTCCCCCCGTGCTGTCCGGCAGGTAAAAGGCTCCCGCGAGCATCCCGCAGTCAGAGGACCACGGCACTGTGCTCGCCCACCCAGAGGGCCTAGCACCACACTGGCCCAGAGAACCCAGTTATCAATGGGACACAGCTGCACCACTGCCCATCTGCTGGCTACAAATTCAGGATGACACGCCAGTTGTGACCACTGTTTTTAATTTAGGAAATCAAGGTGAACATATACGAAGCCTATAGCACTGAAGTACAGAATTCTTACTCCCAAACAACACAAATCTGTGGGAGGTCTCTCCTGCTGTGCAGAAAGGGTGGAGAACAGGGAGACTTCTGTAACTGGACCTGACACAGAGTAAAAGAAAAGGGTGGGGAGGAAGGTTTCACATAAAAGCAGAGAACAGATACCACTGTGCTGTCCCCAACACACTCTGCCCGGGGGCAGTTAATCTGCACTTGTACTTGGCTGTGGCTGCTGCTGCTCTTTTAGCTTCTTCTTCTTCTTTTTCTTCTGTTTGGAGATGCAGCTCAAAGCAGACTTGCCATTTCCTGGAGCAGACACGACGATGGGCTTGCCAGACTGAGTCGGATACTTGGTTTTCAGATCATCTTTAAACAACGGCTGGGAGAGTAAATGGCGCAGCTCCTTCTTCAAGACTTTCATCTGTTTTTGCCTCCGACGCTCTTCTTGCTCATCAGCTTTTCCTCCTTGAAACACAATACAAAACAAATGCTATTTACTGTGTTCTTAGAAACACTGTTTCCTTGGATGGATAGTACTTGTGATTAAAATGTTTTAGAACTCCTTTGGGGAGGCAGGGCACAAAAGTCCTCAGCAGAAGTTAGTGTTGGCTTGACAACAACTGTAAATGGCTCACTTCTAACACGGTTTAGGAGGGATCCTCAGGGCCATCCTGCCATTTACTCACAAGAACCCTCTAAGATAGTAACTATCTTCATTTTGCAGATGAGGAAACTGAGGCTTAGAGATGTCATCTGTGTAAGATCAAACAGACTAGAAGCCAAGTCTCCCAGCTCAAAGGTCAGTGTTCTTCCGACCACTCCCCACTGCTGCCTTGGTTTGGTGACTGGACAGCTACAACCCCTCAGAAGAGTGAACAGTCCCTGTGCAGACCAACCCTCCTGACACGGCACCACCAGAGCTGACCACACACGCAGAGGTGGCAGAGTCCCAAGCCTGAGCTACCAGGAGGACCAGCTCACTGCCGACAGCCCCAGGGCTCTGGTTGCTGGCAAGCGCGCTGGGCAGGCAGCAGTCAGTATGCCCTCTGGATGTCTGAGATGCCAGCACCTTAACTGAGCTGCTCGCTTGGGGGGACGGAGAGACTACTGGACATAACTGGGACGTCCTCAGTTCCAGCTGTGGTTCTACCACTTCTTAGATGCGTGAGCCTTCCTAGAGCAAAGACCATGCAAATTCATCCCAGAATCCTTAGCACCTGGCCCAGGGACAGACCGGGGAGGGGGGGGGGGCTCAGGAACTGCCTGGTGGTGGCGCTGTTTTCCTGCACAAATCACTCTTCTTCCTTAAGCCTCCAGTTCCCATGTGTAAAAGGACAATGAGGCCTGCTCTGTTTATGCCCTGAGACTGTGGAGAAGATCTGACTACAGGCTGTGCTCTCTGTCAATCTGGATGGCAGGTGTAGGTGTAGCGGTAACAATAATGGTGATAAATAGTAACTTAAAATGTACCAAATACTTCCTATTTGCCAGGCACTGGCCTAAGCACTTTACAAGTGTTGAGTCAAACAATCTTCACAACAACCCCGAGGTAGGTACTGTATATACTCCATTTTACAGATGAGGGAACTGGGGTGTAACAGAGAGGTTAAGTAACTTGACCTGATCACACAGCCAGTTACACGAATGGGCCAGCATTCAAACACAGGCTGTCTAGCCCCAGAGCCTGACTACCTTCATCACTGCACTCCACGCTGAACTCCAGACAGAGAAATAAGTAAGACGGGGAACAAAAGCTGGGGGGCGTTAGGCTCGTCTGAGCCTTGGGCCTGTCAGCAAAGAAGTAAAGGGTGTTTGACAGAACCAGCCGTAGTGGGGGTGGTTCCAACTAGACAAAAGTTGAAGGAGAAAAAAAAGCTGAGTGTTACCTTCCTCAAGTCCCACCTGCCTAAGACCTTACCCTTATACATTCCTTCTTCCAGCTCTATCTCCAGGGCAGCCGCTGCCTGCTCAATCCAAGAGTTGTGTAGACAAGCCTGGAAGTTCCGATACTCAGCTTTCTCAATCTGTCGAGCTAAACAGATTCGCTCCTGGGGGAAAGCAACAGAAGGTGTTCATCCGGAAGGGGGTTCAGGCTTCTGGGAAGCACAGTCCCATGTAAATCATGTTTTAAAAAGCTCAGTGGTCACCGAGGGGGGTTCAGTCCCATCGCCATGCATTTGTTTTGTTGTTGCTGTTGTTAGGTGCCATCGAGCCGATACTCACTCACAGTGACCCCATGTGACAGGGTAAAACTGCCCCATAGGGTTTTCTAGGCTATACTCTCTATAGATGCAGAGCGCCAGGTCTTCCTCCAGTGGAGCTGCTGGGTGGGTTCAAACGGCCGCCCTTTCAGTTAGCGGCAAAGCATTTAACCACGGCGCCACCAAGGCTCCTTGCGTTTGTTTTAGTTTCTGATAAAAACCCAGACGGCAATCACCCCCCGTGGGCACACGCCCTCACAAAGGCCAGCTTTCCAAACAGGAAACCTGAACGGCCCCACCCCCTGGAAACCTGTCTCAGTCTATCAACCTACAGGTGTCCAAAAACAAACAACAGAAAACCCAATGCCATCGAGTCAATTCCAACTGCTAGCGACCCCACAGAACAAAGGAGAACAGCCCCATAGGGTTTCTAAGGGGCAGCTCCACAGGTGTCCAAGGCAAACTCCTTTCCCAGACACCACAGAACTTCCAAGAGTTTATGGGTCCTGGAAGGTTTGTGGCATTCAGCCACGTTTGGCTGTTCTCCTGAACGTGCTCAAAGCACATAAGACTTCTCATCAGATGCCCTGTCATTTCCTAGCTGTGAGGCCTGACACAAGTCACTTTACTTCTCTGCACCTAACTCAACTGAAAAGGGGGGACAACAACAATCATACATGGGGTTGTTCTAAAGATTGTCTTCATGCTCACAAAGACCTGGCATATGGCAGGCCTTCAGCAAATGGCAGCTCACTTTCTAGAGCAGGCACCCCCCTGCTGAAAACCACTCACACCGGCCTCTCATCACACTTGCAATAAAATCCACCCCCTGCACAACCAGGTTCTGACTGAGCTCACCATCCTTATTTCTCCTCCTCTCCCCCTTGCTCACTTTGCCACTTGCTGGTCCCTCTGCCTGTGTGACAGGCATCCCAACATACACCCCAACTCCTTCTCAGGCTTAGATCTCAGCTTAACAATCGCCTTGTCTAGGGAGCCTGCCTCATGACTCCATCCAAGTAGCTTCCTCCTTGTTCTCCATGATGCCCCTCCGCTGGTGTCCTAACAATTACCGCAATGTGTAACGGTGCATTTACACGAGGTACCCATACTTTCTGCTTGTGGCTGGTTCTCTTCTCCTGAACCAGACTTACTTACTCTCTTCTAGTAAGCAATGGAGCTGAATTTCAAGAAACAGGCCAATCAAAAAGGATTTTTCTGCTCTCTTGGTTCTCTGCCAAAAACAATACTTATTTAGCTAGCACTGGTGTCAGTTTGTGGGATTTCTTCAATCTGAGCAGCCCCACAGGCCCCACACTCACTTTTGTGAGGAAAAGACAAAGGGGAAAGGTGTTCAGCCCTTCTGCCACCTCCCTGGAAGCCCAATGGTGGGATGTGGTAAGGGCCACTCTTCTGAGGTGCTGGGGAGGAATGCACACTGAGCAAGGCCTGCTGAGTTCCTGTAATTGATGCTGAATCGTAAGCTGGCATAAATGTGGACAGACAGCTTTCTTCAGGAATAATGCAAACACTGCCAGCTTTGTGTACATCACCTTCTAAGCAAGGTACTGGCAGATGCTAGGGTCATTTACACAGTGTGCTTCCTGAGGAAAAAAATCTGAAATCTCTTTAGGGAGGGAAAAAAAAATCAGTTGTATAGTAACCATTAGATCTCAGGCCTACGAAAAGGAACTGATCAAGTCTCCAGGAAAGCCCAGTGCCTAGCATGACGTCTGGCATGTTACAGGAACTCAACAAACGTCTGTTGAATGAATGAATAAAACTAACTCTCTAGGAAATGGCTGAACCAGGTTGGCTACTGTACCTCTGCTCTGACCTCTGACGTCTACTGCCAGCTCGTGGAGTGACCTTAAACTGCCATAACCTGTCCACGCCTCACTATGCCGCTCTATGAACTGAGGGGGCTGGCTGGACAAGACCCTCTCTCTGGTCCCTTACAGCTCTCGAACTCTGTAAGCCCCACAAGTACCAGGACTATGTCTGTCTGGGTCACTACTGTATCCCCAGCATCTAACAGAGCAGCTGGCATACAGCAGGTACTTCATAAATATTAGCTGAAGGAACAAACAGGAGCACTCTGCATCATTAAACCTGGAGGGGCACCCAGATTTCCCACTGTTGTCAAAACAGCCACCGGAGCTGGCTCCCACAGTTGAGCTGAGATCCTGAACACTCCAACAGCCCAGAGTGAGGGAACACTTCTCAGCTACACACCTTTGCTGGCTCACCTGTTCTGTCTTCTCCCAATCCCTCTTTATAAATCTCCCTGCTCAGCTGTTGGAAGAACCATTCCTTAGTTTCCAAGGGTTACGCTGCCAGAGCTCACAGCGAGGTGCTCTGGAGGGAGCTGCAGCGCCCCCCGATTAACAGCGGGGTTTTACCTTGACTGTGTCCATGTACTTTGTCTGCACAGGGAACACTGGGATGTCCTCATCTTTCTTGAGGGTTTTGTAAATCTTCTTAAAGTTGATCACATCCTCAGGCCCGATCAGCATCAGGCTGAGGCCTTCGTTGGTAGCACGAGCAGTTCGACCACTTCGGTGAACATAAATCTCCGAGGTGCGAGGGACCTGCCAAAGGAGGAACTGGGAGGTCAACGCACGGCTACTGCCCAACACTGCTCTTCCCCTTAGGGCTGCATCCCATCACTGGACTGCCGCCCTCCAGCCAGGCAGGCAGAATCTGCTCTAGCATCGTGGACCAATCCAGACCTGCTACCTCAGTCCCACATTCAAACTGCTCCCAGGTTAGCCCATCCACTGGGCAGGCTCTGCCCTCCCATGCCCCCTACCCTGGTTCAGGCCCTCATGACCACTCAACTGGGAAACTGCAGTCACTTCTTTTTGGTCTCTAGTTCTCCCCACTTCCCTGCCGCAGTTCCAAACTACCAGTGTCATCTTCCTGAGTCACCGCTCTGACCATACTACCCCCTCTACTAGAGAAACCCCACTGGTTCTTCATGAGCTCCGCGTAGGTGACTGAGGACAGTAATCCGAACCAACGTTTCCTGAGTGATTACAATGTGCCAGACAATTCTAAGCACTCTGCATACGTGCATTATTCCCATCTACTCTGCACAACAATATGACGTACTATTTTACAGACCAGGAAACTAAAACACAGAGAAGGTGAGCAACTTCTCCTAGGTTACCCAACTAAGTGGTGGAACCAGGATTCGAACTGAAGCACTCCAGCTTCAGAGACCATGCTAACCACTGAGCACAATGCCTCTGCTACAAAGGATGACAGGGGATGCTGATAACTCCTATCTCCTCCCATTCCCATATCGCTAACCAAACACAGGTCTTCTCCACTGAGACGAGACAACATCTCACTATCCTTTTTCTTTTCAACACAGTGCCCTAAGCAGCCACTAAGAAATACTCATAATGGTGCTAAAAATGAGATTTATGTGCCATTCTTCACCTCTGGGACAAAGGCCCAACTCTTCAGCCTGCCACGCAGGGCCTTCAATGACCTGCACCCAGCCTCGGCAACTATTCCCCTCCCAACACAGCCCTCTTCTCACGCAAAGCCAGCTGTCCCCAAACACTGCCCACTTCCACAGCCTGGCTCACCATGCTCTGTCCTCCTTTCCTCTCCACATGTCCAGATCCTCTTCACCCTTAAACACCAAGCATCTTTTAGAAAGCACTTTCCAACCTCCCAAACTAGAAGTTATTTCTCTCCCATGACATTTTATAACTTTCTAATATCTTTCACCTTAAATTCCAGCTGTGGGCATCTCACCTCCTCTACTGGATGGGATACTTGTTGGGGGCTGGGACTACAGAATCATCTTGTACATCTCGAGACCTCCCACAAAGACTGATCCAGCCCCTTCTCCAAAAAATGAGGAAGAGTAAAGCTTTGCTAAACTGAACTGGCACCCTAAAAGATTCTAAGAAAGCAGAAAGGACTAAGGGGGCGAAATAACAATCTTGTGACAATAGCTCTCATTTAGTAAGCATTCACACTGTGCTGGATGCTTCACCCGCACTGGCTCCTTATAATTCTCATGATAACCCCATGGGGTACAGGCAGCATTATTCCTCTCAATTTACAAACAGTGACACTGAAACCAGAGATGTTAAATGATTTACCCAAAGCTATATAGCTACAAAGTAGCAGACCGGGGGTTCAAACCCTGGCAGTCTGGATCAGGAGCCCATACTCATGACCACCACTCTGTGCTGATATTTACTAGGAGTGTGCACTGATATGAACACTACTATCAACAGCAGCTAACATTTAGTGACAAGGTGCCAGGCGACTTTCTAAGCTCTTTACACGTATGAACTGATTTCAGTCTAATAACAACCCTAAGAAGTAGGTACATAATTACTCCACTTGACAACTGAGAAAACTGAGGTACAGAGAAACACAATAACTTGCTCCAGGCTGCACAGGTGGGATTTGTGGTGGCCCTCTTCATCACCACACTGCTACTTCTCTACACTACTTTATACACTTAACTTACACCTATTTCACGGAAGAAACTAAGACTTTAAAAGAGACGGGTTATAACTACCTGCTCCCAAGTCAAAGACAGGGGCTATCTGAGTCTCAGACAACGCCAAGAGATTTCTGAGACTGTATCTTACCATTTACGAACCTCAGTGTTCCAAGAGTGGGAGCAGCTGGGTACTAGATGTCACTGGTATTGTCTGTTGTGCAAGGCCTTGGGACCAACAATCCCTCCTCCCTTTCCTTCTCCCACCACCTCTCCTTTGCTTTAAATGAAACTCCTTGATTCAATGCTGAGAGATGTCTACAAATTTTCAGATTTCCCTACCTGATAATGGATGACATGCTGGACTTCAGGAATATCCAGACCCCGGGCTGCCACATCTGTTGCCAGGAGAACACAGCTGTGGTATAGAAAGTTCATTAATAATTGCGACTAACAACCATCATTAATCAAACTCTTTCCACCTGCTGAGCACTGTAAACACTCTATGAGATAATACTATTATCTCCCTTTACAGATAAAGAAACAGGGGCTCAGAGATTAACTTGCCCAAGGTACATACATGGCTATTAAACTGCAGAGCCAGGATCCAAACCTAGGTCTGACTGACCACAACCAACATGGCGCCCTCTGCAATACTACAAGCCCACCTCAAGTGAACTACGTAAGGCCATTATGTACTGAGTCGGTGATCGCATCTCCCATCACCCTCCTACTTAACACCCCTCCAGCTACAGACTTGCTTGCTATTCCTCAAATGCACCAAGCATACTCTTCCGTCGAAGCCTCTTCCCTCAGACTCATTCCCTTACTTTCTTCAGCTCTCTGCTCAGATTTCACCTTACCAGAGAAGCTCCTCATCACATGCCACAGTCTCCTTTGCCATCTCCTGTCAACTTTACTTCTTAGCACTTAGCACCACTTGATATACTACACATTTACTTTTAAATTTATTATTTCCCTCCATTAGAATGTAAGCTCCATGACAGCAAGGACTTAGCATTATTCACTGTTATGTTATCAGCAGCTAGAACAGTGTCTGGTTCATAATAAACACTCGATAAATGTGTTGGGTGGTATTTCTTAATGTGTGGTTTGAGAGTCAACAGCACTTGAGATGTGTCTTAAAACTTAAGATTCTGGGCCCTTCAGGGTCCCTACTCCCTGTATCTGAGGTAGGACTGGAGAATGTGATGCCAACTAAAAGGTACAAAACATTAAACCACTGCTCTATGTCAGAGGTCAGCAAACTTTTTCTGTAAAGGACCGGAGGGTATTTTCAGCTTTGTGGGCCATACAGTCTCTGTCGCAATTACTCAACTCTGCCAAGCCCTGCTCTAAACTAATCTCAGTAAACCACTCAAAATGCCTACCAACATTCAAAGGGAGGTACCCAGACACTTGATCTAGAAATTAATAACCCCATGACGACAAAATACTGTGGGCAAACGCCAATTTATAGACTGTCTCAACTTTCCAGGCCTTCATCTTGACAAGCTGCACCCTGCTTCCTGAGGTGGGACAGAGCATGGGTTTCGGGGTCTGACTTCTCTGAAGCCCAGCTCTGACACTTCTAGGCTGAGAAACCTTGGGCAAGCTGATTAGCATCTCTAGACCTCATTTTCTTTGTCTATAAAATGAGAATAATGATAATGATCATCATGATAAATGGCCGTAGTAAGAACAGTAATTATCAAAGCTAACATTTAACAACCACATACTATATACCAAAACCAAACCAAACCCGCTGCCATCTAGTCGATTCCAACTCACAACAACCCTGTAAGAGAGAGTAGAACTGCCCCATAGGGTTTCCAAGAAGCAATTGGTGGATTCAAACTGCTGACCTATTGGTTAGCAGCTGTAGCTCTCAACCACTGCACTACCAGGGCTCCAGCTACTATTCTAAACACCTTCTATGCATGAATTCACAATCAGTTAATCCTCATAAGAGGATTAAATAATAGAGGTACCTTCTATTATTATCCCAATTTTACAGATGAGAAATCTGAGGCACAGAGAGGTTAAGTAACTTGACCAGCTAGGAAGTGATGGAGCCAGGATTTGATCTCAGGCCACTGATCAGAGATCAGTCACAGGGTCTGTGCTATTAACCATGAATCTATTCTTCTTCTTCTCAAGGATGTTAGAAGTGACTGAATGTGACAATGTAGTTTAAGTGCCAGCATAGGATTTATTCTATTTTACTTGTTCAACAATAATAGGTATTGTGGTGTAGACTGTTAACACACTTGGCTGCTTACTGAAAGGGGTTGGTAGTTTGAGTCACCCAGGGCCACCTCTGAAGAAAGGCGTGGTGATCTACTTCCAAAAAAATTAGCCATTAAAAACCCTGTGGAGTACAGTTCTACTCTGACACACATGGGGTCACCATGAGTCGAAGTCAACTCTATGGCAACTAGTGGTGGTGGTAGTAATCATTATTATGGAAATTTCTGTTGGGCATTACCAGCAACCAAATGCAAAATGAGGGTGAGCCTGCCTAATGCAGTGCTAAAAAGGCTACTTTCTACCAACAAGGCCCTCATGATAGAAAGTCGCCTCCCACCATCTCCCCACCATCCTGGCCCCCTTGGCCTAGTAGTTAGGGGCTGGGCCTCTAGGGACAGGCCTGACTTACTCTTTCAGACGGGCAAACTGCTCCAGGTTTCTGAGCCTCTGTTTCTGGTGCATGCAGGCATGTAGGGTCAACGGCATGATATCCAGGACTTTGAGAAGCCCAGAAAGGCGTTTGATGCAGGAAATGCTGTTGGCAAACACTAAAGTGCGGCCTGGATATTGCATCAGGAAGTAGTACAAGTAGAGGTCCTTCTCATCAGTTTCACAATGGATCTTGGTCTCTGTCAGCGTCTCCACTGTGGCCTCATTCCTTGTGAGGTCGATGACCTTGGGCTTGCCCCTCATGCCAATCTTCTGCATGAGGAGGTCAAGCTTGGCAGTTTTGTCCATTTTCTTGGTGTGCTTCTTATGAAGGATTCGAGTGGGAGCCTGATGTACCAGGGTCAGTGTGGCAGAAAAAACAAGTGTCTGTCTCTCTGGGTTGTACTGAGCATCGCTAAGCATCTCCAGTAGCTGGGAGAGCTCAGCAAAGTGGCCTTTCTCAACCATCCGGTCGGCCTCATCCACTACCAGGCACCTGCAGATCCAAACAGACTCACATAATCTAGCTAGCAGCAGGTCAGGAGTCGCCTACAGCACACACCTCTCTCACCTACCCCACTCGGCCCCCCAGCACACATGCACACACCCCACCAGTGCCTCAGTTAATCTCTCTCACTCATGCTTGGTTTTCCAAGGCCAAGGTCTCCTGGTATCCCATCACGGCACTGTGACAGTGACAAGGCACTACACACACTACCATGTCACCTCAGACCCACTTGAGACCAGAGGGTAAGAAGGAAAGGAGAAGTTCCATCTCTCACCTGAGCTGCCGAAGGTGACTCAAATGAGGGTGCTTTTCCTTAACCAGCTCCCACAGCCGGCCTGGAGTGGCAATCACAATCTCAGGCTGGCGGTTCAGCATCCTTTGCTGTTTCTGCGTGGACATTCCACCAACCAAAATAGCAGTTTTAATTCCTACGGCACACAAAAGATAAAGGGCACTGTTCCTCAGTCAAGCTGCTTATTTTAATTTTTTAAGTATTTTATTGTATTTGCAGGGAAGGTTTACACAGCAGTTTAGGTTCTCACTCAACAATTTCTATACAAGTTATTCAGTGACTTGGTTACATTCTTCACAATACATGAATATTCGCATAATTTCTGTTGTGATTGTTCTGTTTCTCTGTCCCCTTTCATTCTCATCTTTGTTTTAAAGTAATTGTTGACCGTTTGGTCTCATATGGGTGATTTTATTGACTACACAAAGGCATTCGACCGCGTGGATGATAACAAATTACGGATAACAGTGTGAAGAATGGCAATTCCAGAACACTTAATTGTGCTTATGTGGAACCTGTACATAGATGAAGAGGCAGCTGTTCAACAGAACCAGAGGATACTGCATAGTTTAAAGTCAGGAAAGGTGTGCATAAAGGTTGTACCCTTGCACCATATTTGTTCAGTTTGTAAGCTGAGCAAATAATTCGAGAAGCTGGACTATAAGAAGACGACTAGGGCATCAGAATAGGAGGAAGACTCATTAAAAACCAGCATTATGCAGATGACACAACCTTGCTTGCTGAAAAGTGAAGAGGACTTGAAGCACTTACTGATGAAGATCAAAGACCACAGCCTTCAGTGTGGACTACACCTCAACATAATAAGAAAACAAAAATCTTCACAACTGGACCAATAAGCAACATCATGCAAGGATTTCATTTGACTTGGATCCCCAATCAACACCCATGGAAGCAGCAGTCAAGAGATCAAATGACTTATTGCATTAGGTCAATGTGCTGCGAAAGACCTCTTTAAAGTGTTAAAAAGCAAAGATGTCACTTTAAGGACTAAGGTGCACCTGACCCAAGACATGGTATTTTCAATCGCCTCATAAGCATGCGAAAACTGGACAACGAATAAGGAAGACCGAAGAGGAGTTAATGCATTTGAATTATGGTGTTGGAGAATACCGAATATACCATGTGTCATAGACTGAATCGTGTCCCCCCAAAATATATGCCAACTTGGCTAGGCTATGATTCCCAGGATTGTGTGGTTGTCTTCCATGTTGTGATCTGATATAATTATCCTCCATTTTGTGATGTTTTATAAATCCTAACCTCTATATGTTAATGAGACAGGATCAGTGTGGGGTGTATCTTGAGTCACAGCCTTACAAGAGGGTAAGACTCGAGTCATACCCTTACTCAAGTCACACTCTTGCTCAAGTCACACTTTTTATTTTACAAGAGATAAAAGGAGAGAGAAGTGAGCACAGAAGAGAGGGACCTCACCACCACCAAGAAAGAAGAGCCAGAAGAGGAGTGCATCCTTTGGACCCAGGGTTCCTGCACTGAGTATCTCCTAGACCCAGAGAAAGATTAATGCCAAGACACATGGAGCTCTCCGAGGAATGCTGGCCTACAGATGTTGAAAGGAGACAGGGACCTTCCCTCAGAGCCGACAGAGAGAGAATACCTTCCCCTAGAGCTGGTGCCCCAAATTCAGACTTCTAGCCTCCTAAACTGTGAGAGACTAAACTTCCGTTTGTTAAAGCCATCCACTTGTGGCATGTCTGCTATAACAGCACTAGATAACTAAAACACCATGGACTGCCAGAACAAACAAATCTGTCTTGGAAGAAATACAGCCAGAATGCTCCTTAGAAGGGAGGATGGCGAGACTTCACCTCACGTACTTTAGATATGTTACCAGGAGGGACCAGTCCCTGGAGAAGGACATCATGCTTGGTAAAGTAGAGGATCAGTGAAAAACGGAAGACCCTCAATGGGATGGACTGACAGAGTGGCTGCAACAATAGGTTCAAACATAGCAACGATTATGAGGATGGTGAAGGACGGGGCAGTGTTTCGTTCTGTTGTACACTGGGTCGCTAGGAGTTGGAACTGATTCAACAGCACCTAGTAACAACAACAGGTGATTTTAAAAAGGAGCATAGTACTTACAGGTAATATTCATTATTTTTACAGCCAGTTTGTTATCTGGCTACAAGGTGACCTCAGGGGTTAGTTTCAGTTCAAGGTTTAAAGAGTATCTTAGGGCAACAGTCTCAGGGGAGTCCTCCCGTCTCAACCAGTCTAGTAGGTCTGTTTTTCTTTTCTTTTTTGAGGACTTTAAGGTTCTGTTCCACATTCTTCTCCCATTCTATCAGGGTCCGTCTATCGTGGACCTGATTAGAATGGTCAGTAGTGGTAGTCGGGCACCATCTAGTTCTTTGCTGCCTATTTTCTAACACGGCTGGCAAAAGAGCCCCCAGATCTGCAGTCACCAGTATGGCTCCCTCTCCAGGAGAGTGCTAAAGAGCCAGCCTGGTTGGACTGTTGATGCCACTCCCAGAGGGCTTACCAAGCCTTCTATGCTCTGGGCCCTGTCTACTTCCCCAACTTCATTTCTTTTTACTTCTCCCCTCCAACCAGAACAGAAGGTCTGGATTTGAACCCGCATATGCTTGCCTCCAAAGCCCTGGATAAATTGAGCAGTGGTGCACCACAATGCTGGCAATGATGGTACTGGCAGCTGTGTGACACAACTCTCCTAGAAAGCCCTTCCCATTCCCCAGAACTAGAATGAATCTGAATCTCCTCTTGTGCTCGTTCTCCTCTCTCATAGCATCCAGTGTGGGAAGGAACACATAGGATTAGGCAGGTAAAACGCTTGCACACATTAAGAGCTCAATAACAACTGCTGTTTTTATTATAAAAACAAAATTTCCACTGTGCAGCTCCTGCAAAAAAGGGATTCCTTCAGAGAATTAAGTTGTAATGCCCTAAGGCAGGAACTGCCAAATTTTCTTAAAGAGTCAAATAGCAAACATTTTTGGCTTTGCAGGCCAGACGGTTTCTGTTACAACTACTAACTCTACTCAAGTCTGATCTTGCAGTGCAAAAGCAACCATAGAAAATACATAAACAAATGTAAAATTTTATTTACAAAAACAGGCAGTTTGCCACCCCTGCCCTAAGCACCCATTGTATCCAATTAATTAACTAATGTTCTATGCATCCAGAATGGCACTAGCTATCTATCTTTGGAGAATTGAGAAAATAGTCACTCGAATATTTTCTCTAGGACTTAGACTAGAGACAGTCTCTCCTACAGGACAGGAGTCACAGTTCATTAATCTCTGCTACCCTAGCATCTAGGATGCCCTCAGGAAACATTTATTAAATGGAACTAAACCTCACCTGTAAACCTGGCCACAGCATCAATGTGCTGTTTGACCTGGACAGCCAGCTCTCGAGTGGGAGTCAGAACCAGTCCAAGTAGAGGACGCTTTGGATGTTCTTTACAGGTGGCAATTCTGCCATTTGGCTCTTGTTTTAACTTTTCAGTCTGCTCTTCATTGAGCTTTTCTTCTTTGTCCTCATTCTGTTTGGAGATAGGCTCCTCCTTGATCAGGGAAGAAGGTCCTTCACCAGCATCATCATCACAGAGCAGCAGCACCTGGTCTGAGACAGTAGCTCCGGTCTTTGCTTTGGCCTTGCAGGGTGGTGCTCCAGCCTTAGCTTCAGCCTCACTGGACACTGCTTTACTCTCAATTCCGGTCTCATCAAGCAATGTTCCAGACTCAGTTCCAGCCTTGTTTGGTGATCCAGTCTCAGCTTTGGCCTCTCCAGGTGGCACTCTAGTATTACTTGGAGTTGGGGCAGGCTTCTTCTTTTGCCACTGCAGCACTGCATGAATCATCGGAATGGCAAAGGCAAGAGTTTTTCCACTTCCTTAGAAGTAAAAAAAAAAAAAAAAGTGAATCAACAGATGCACATACTTTTATCTAGGTTTTGCAAAGAGGTAGAGACCCTGAAATAGCCAAGTGCCACCCTAGCTCCTCTGCCTTACACAGGTTCCCCCCGCCCCAGCACCGCAACTGTAATTAGGGTCCTGGCAAAAAGTCTGGCCAACCCATATGCAGCCTACAGACCGGCACTGAGGTGTGAGATCACCAATGATGAGTTAAAGATAAATGCCTGGGCAAAGAAACCATAAAGAGATAAAGGGAATGTTTTCTGTGTTTTTGTTTTTGTTGTTAAAGAGTAACAGCATATTTGGGGGTAAGGTGGGAATCTACACAATAAACACTTTCTCAAAACATTTATGAAAGGAAAAATTCAGTTTGGAATTTTATTTGTATGTTACTCATTTGTTTCTTTGTAAAACTATGTCAGAATATTGACAAGCCATATAAAAGGTGGGAAAACCAAAACCAAACCCAGACATAGCCAGTTAATTCCAACTCATGGTTACAGAGTAGAACTGCTCCACAGAGTATTCTTGGCTGTACACCTCAACATAAAGAAAACAAAAATCCTCACAACTGGACCAGTAAACATCATCACAATAAAGGGAGAAAGGACTGAAGTTGTCAAGGATTTCATTTTACCTGGATCCACAATCAACATTAATGGAAGCAGCAGTCAAGAAATCAAATGACATATTGCACTGGGCAAATCTGCTGCAAAAGACCTCTTTAAAGTGTTAAAAAGCAAAGATGTTACTTTGAGGACTAAGGTGCGCTTGATCCAAGCCATCGTATTTTCAATCATCTCATATGCCTGCGAAAGCTGGACAATAAATTGGGAAGACTGAAGAACTGACGCCTTTGAATTATGGTGTTGGCAAAGAATATTGAATATACTATGGACTGCCAGAAGAACAAATCGGTCTTGGAAAAAGTACGACCAGAATGCTCCTTAGAAGCAAGGATGGCGAGACTTGGTCTAACATACTTTGGACACGTTATAAGGAGGTACCAGTCCCTAGAGAAGGACATCATGCTTGGTAAAATAGAGGGTCAACGAAAAAGAGGAAGACCCTCAACAAGATGGACTGACACAGTGGCTGCAACGATGGACTCAAGCATAGCAAGGATTGTAAGGATGGCACAAGATGGGGTAGTGTTTCATTCTGTTGTACGCAGGGTTGCTATGAATCAGAACTGACTTGACAGCACCTAACAACAACAACCTTTATGGAAGCAGATCTCCAGGCCTTTCTTCCATGGTGCTGCTAGGTTGGTTTGAACTGCCAGCCTTTAGGTTAGTAGTTAAGTATGAACCATTTGTGCCACCCAGGGACATTTGAAAGGTAGGTGAAGGGAATAAAACTATCTTTTTTGGTGAGGAAAGAGAGAGTAAAAGGAAATTTTCTTAGGTTTTCAGAAAATTTTAAAACAGCACTACGTACTCTGCCTATGTTTGAAATTTACAAACTGGCCTTTGAATGTATACATACGCAGTCCAAATTCACATCGTCTGAGTGGTCAAAACAAGCAACCAAACCAAACCCCTCAAACTGAGAATTTAAAGTAGTTCCAAAGTGATAATGCCCTAAGAAGAAGAAAATAAATGCTCTCTGGAGTAAGAAATCTTTGTCATGGCCTTAAAGGATTCTCACAAATAATTTTCAAAAGAAAAGCAGCAGCTCTCAGTGAAAAAAATTAATTACACAAGGAAAACAGGTACAGTAAGCAAGAACAAAAAGAAAAAGAGCAAAAAAAGATCCAGAATACAACCTAACCATGTTTACAATTAAAAACATAAAGACAAATTTGAGAACATTTGCAAGGAACTGAAATCAATAAAGAATGACCAAGCAGATTTTAAAAACCACCAAACAGAAGTCTAAAAAAAAGAAAAAAAATTCAAAGTTTCCTAGTAGATTAAAACAGCTAGAGAAAATTAGTAATGAACGATAATATTAAGAAATTATTCAAATGCAGCACAAAATAGGAAACATGCAAACGAGGTTAAGACACAGAGTGAGAAAGTTTACCAAATCTAATCTGAATGCTATTCAATCTAATAGAATTCCAAGAAGTAAAGGGACAAAATGGTTTAACTTCAGGGGTAAATATTCTTTTTGTTATTATTTAAACTTCTTTAAAAAATAATTGGCTGCTTAAAGCAAAAAAAATATTTTTAATGTATTTTGGGGTTTCTAACATATCTAAAAGCAACCCCTGGTGGCACAGTGGTTAAAATCTCAGCTGCTAACGGAAAGGTTGGGGTTGGAACCCACCCAGTGGCTCCATGGAAGAAAGACCTGGTGATCTGCCTCCATAAAGATTACAGCCAAGAAAACCCTATAGAGTAGTTCTACTCTGTCACATGGGATCGCTATGAGTCAGAATCAACTCTACAGCACCTAACACCACCACCACCACCATACATAAAAATAAAATATGCACAAAAAGCACAAAGGCCAAGGAGCAGAGAAATGAAAGCAAACCCTTGTAAGATTCTTGTATTATACATGAACCAAAAAAAAAAAAAAAAACCAAACCCATTGCCATCGAGTCAATTCCGACCCATAGGGTTTCCATTATACATGAAGTAGTATAATATCAAGGAGCCCTGGTATCGCAAATGGTTAAGTGTTAACCAAAAGGTTGGCAGTCCGAACTCACCCAGTGGCTTCTCAGGAGAAAGACCTGGTGATCTGCTTCCATAAAGATTACAGCAAAGAAACACCATACTCAGGAGACATCTACGTCAACTGGCACAACACAGTTCATATAAACAAAGTTCTACATCCTACTCTGGTGAGTAGCATCTGGGTCTTGCAAGTGGCCATCTAAGATACAACTATTTGTTTCTTACCATCTGGAGCAAAAGAGAATTAAGATAATCAAAGACCCAAAGGAGCAATTAGTCCAAAGGACTAACGGACCACATGAAACACAGCCTACACAACCCCGAGACCAGAAGAACAAGATGATGCCCTCTGCCGCTACCGACTGCTCTGACTGGATCACAACAAAGGGTATCAGACAAAGCGGGAGAAAAACTGCAGAACAAAAAACCAAATTCACAAAAAAGACCACACTTACTGGTCTGATAGAGACTGGAGGAACCCCAGAGACTATGGCTCCAAGATACCCTTCAGAGCTGGAAGTGAAGCCATTACCAGAGATCACCCATTAGCCAAACCACAGACAGGCCCATAAAATAAACTACACCTGAGAGGAATGCATCCCGTAGAACAACCTATTATACGAGATCAAAAGGGCGACATTAGCCCAAAAGAAGGATGAGAAGGCAGGAAGGGGTAGCAATTCAGGAGGAAAGGAAACGGGAAACCTAGGACATAAATGAGGGTAGGGCAGGCACATTGTGGGGAAGGGAACCAATGTCATGGAACACTTTCTGTATACACACTATTGAATGGGAAACTAATGTGCTATGTAAGCTTTCACCTAATGCACAATAAAATAAACAAATAAAAAAGATTACAGCCAAGAAAACCCTATGAGGCAGTTCTACTCTGTCACATGGGGTCACTATGAGTCGAAATCAACTTGACAGTACCTAACAACAACACTGTAGTATCACTTGAAAGCAGACTACAATAAATTAAAGATGCATACTGTGATCCCCAAAGCAACCACTAACAGTACACAACAGAGAGATAACTAATAAGACAACAAAAGAGATAAAATAATGGTATGGTGCAAAAAGAAAAAAAAAAAACCTCAATCCAAAAGAAGGCAGAGAAAGGGAAAAGGGTGCGAAGGAGAGATGGAACAAGTAACAAGATAAGAGATTTAAATCTAATCATTATCAATAATCACCTCAATTAAAAGGCAGAGAATGTCAGATTCAATAGCAAGATCCAGTTATATACTGCCTACAAGAAGCTCACTTCAAACATAAAAACACAAATAAGTCCAAAGTAAGAATATGCAAAAGACAGTATGCTAATATTAATCAAAATAAAGCTGAAATGGCTACACTAATAATTCACATTAGATTTTAGAACAAAGAATACTGTCAGAGATAAAGAGTGTCATTTGATAACGAGAGTCAATTCATTTAGAGGGTATTAACAATTGTAAACGTTTATGCATCTAATAATAGAGCTTCAGAATCAATGAAACCAAAACTGACAGGACTGTAAGTAGAGAACGAGCACTCAAGAAAAAATAACCTGAATATCTCTATTAAAGGAATTCAATCTGTAGTTAAAACCTTCCTCCGAAGAAAAGTACAGACCCAGATAAATATGAATTCAAACACTTAAAGAAGAAATGCCAGCTCCAGATAAACTCTTCCAGAAAACGGAAGAGGAGAAAATACTTCATGAATCATTCTGAGGCCAGTATTGCTCTGTTCCAAAACCAAAGACATCATAAGAAAACTACAGACCAATACCCTAGGAACATAAATGCAAAAATTCTCAACAAAATTTTAGCAAACTGAATCCAATAATATATAAACAAAGTAATATATTGTGGCCAAGTTAGATTTATTCCAGGAATACAAAGTTAATTTCATTATTTGAAAGTCAATGTAATTCACCATTATCAACAGACTAAAAATGAAAAATCACATATCTCAACAGATGCAGAAAAAGCACTTGAAAAAAATCCAACATCCATTCCTGATTTAAAAAACAAACCTCTCAGTAAACTAGAAATAGAACTTTCTCAATCTGATAAAGAATATCTGTGAAAAACCTATCATACTTAATGGTGAGAGACTGAATGTTTTCCCTCTAAAGATCAGGAACAAGGCAATGATATCCACTCTACCATTTCTATTCTAAATTGTACTGAAGGTTTTAGCCAATGCAACAAGACAAGAAAAATAAATAAAAGGTATCCAGATTGGATGATATGACTGTCTTTGTAAAAATTCCTATGGAATCTTCAAAAAACCATTAAAACTAAGTTGCAGGATACAAGATCAATATATAAAAATCCTTCATATTTCTATTTATTAGCAACAATCAAACATAGAAAATTTAAGATTACCATTTACAATAGCATCAAAAATATGAAATACTCTGGATAAACCTAACAAAAGATATGCAAAACTTGAACACTAAAACTATGTTACCGTAATCAAGACAGTGGAGTATTGGTGTAAAGAGAACAGAGATTTCATAAATAAACCCAGACATATATGGTACTGAGTTTCAACAAAGATACTAAGGCAATTCAGCAGAGAAAGGATATTTTTCAACAAATGGTGCTGGAATAATGAGATATCCATATGCAAAAAAAAAAAAAAGAACTTTAATCCATACTTTTCACCATGGACAAAATTAACTCAATAAGGATCACAGACTGAGAAACAGAACCTAAAACCACTACGGGAAAAAAACTTCTAGAACGAAACAGGAGGAAATCTTTGTGACCTTGGGTTAGGCAAAGGGTTGTTAGATAAGACACCAAAAGCAAGATCCATGAAGAAAAAGCTGCTAATTTGAACTTCATCAAAATAATGAACTTCTGCTCTATGAAAAACTGTCAGGAAAATGAAAAGACAAATCACAGACTTGGAGGAAAAAACTGTGAATCACGTACTGATAAAGAAGTTGGAGTCCCTGGGTAGTGCAAATGGTAAGCGCTTAACTACTAGCCAAAAAGTTGGCAGTTAAAACCCACCCGGACACTCCTCAGGAGTCAGGCCTGGGATCTGCTTCCAAAAGGTCACAGCCTTGAAAATCCTATGGAGCAGTTCTACTCTGCACACATGGAGTCACTATCAGTTGGACTCAACTCGATGACAACTAACAACAACAAATCCAGAATATATATTAACTCTCAAAACTCAGTATAAGAAAACAAACAACCCAATTAAAAATGGGCAAAAGAATGGAACACACACTTCACCAAAGAAATATAGATAATAAGCTAGTGAAAAGATGCACAATATCAACCAAACCCATTGTTGTCAAATTGATTCTGATTCATGGCAACTCCATGTGTTACAGAGTCGAGTTCCATAAGGTTTTCTTGACTATAATCTTCACAGAAGCAGAGTGCCAGGCCTTTCTTCCATGCTGCCGCTGTGTGGGTTTGAACTGCCAATCTTTCAGTTAGTAGTCAAGAGTAAACCATCTGTACCACCTAGGGACCTTCATTAGTCACTAGGGAAATGCAAATTAAGACCACAAGAAAATAACACTAAAATTTAAAAAGCCTAACCATAAAATTAAAGACTGGTCACACCAAGTGTTATTAGCAAGGATACAGACCAACTCTAACTCTCGTAACTCCTGGAGTCATGGTTAAATGGTATAATCACTTTGGAAAACTCCTAAAATGTTAAACACACACTTATATGGCCCAGCCATTTCCCATCTAGGTATTTACCCAACAGAAGTTAAAGTATATGTCCATACAAAGACTTGTACACCAATATTTATAACAGCTTTTATTTTTAATAGCCAAAAACACATCACAAATGGCCACCAACAGGTAAGTAGATACACAAATCCCCAAAATGTGATATATCCATACAATGGAACACTACCCATCAATAAAAAGAAACCAACGATTGCTACTTAACAATAACATGGTTGAATCTCAAAACATGCTGAGTGAAGAGCCGCAAGACCCACCCACCCTCTCCCCCCATGTAAGTATATACTATATGATTCAATTTATATAAAATTCTAGAAAATCCATAGCGATAGAAAGCCTATCAGTGGTTGCCTGAGTATGGGCAAGGAGAGGTGGCAGAGGAGGGAGGGATTACTAAGCGGCCCAAGGAGCCCTTTGGGAGTGATGAATACGTTCATTATCGTGTGGACAGCGGTTTGTCTACAGCCCCAAATGCATGGCCTGTCCCAATTCTTTCCAAATGTTAGACCTGCAGATTCACAGCATTCCATGGGGGACAAGCCAGACAGGAGCTGCAGTATGAATCCAAATGCCAAGCTCCAATAGCAGTGGCTCACACAGACTTCGCCTCTGCCTTCCAGAGACCTACTTCCAGGCCTGTGCACATACCAAAGCAGTGTAGCAAAATGCTTAAGTGCACACAGACCTGGCCTAGAATCCAGACACTGAGAATTTCTGTGTGATTTCCATCCTCTGTAATGTCAAGTTTCCTCATCTTTAAGATGGAACAATAATAGTATCTACTGACCCCAAGTCGTAACTGACTCCACAGCAACTGGTTCTCACCTTAGTGTGGCTGACAGGATTGAGCTCATCAGTATACAGTACTTAAGGCAATGCATGACACATTTTAAGTGCTCAGTAAATGTCTAAGTTATTTTTATTACCTCCATTCCCCTCTCCTGGGGTATCCTCACTCCTCCATCTATGTGACTCTCATACAGGACCTCACCCCAAGATTTCTGATCATCCTTTCAGAAGTCCAAGGCACAAAGTGTCTAGATGGTCTAATGCTACACTATACAATATAGTAGCTAGTAGCCAAGCGTGGCTATTGAGCACTTGAAATGTGTTTAGTCTAAACTGAGATGTGCTGTAAGCTTAAAATATACATATAATATACATATAATTATATATAATATACATATAATAATAATATAATTTTACATTAACTACATATTGAAATGGTATTTTTTATATACTTGGTGAAATAGTTCAAACTATTTTTCACCTGTTTGTTTATACTTTTTTCTACTGTGGCTCCTAGGTGGCTCAGTGGTTAAGAGCTCAGCTGCTAATCAAAAGGTCAGCAGTTCGAATCCACCAGCCACTCCCTGGAAACCCTATGAGACAGTTCTACTCTGTCCTACAGGGTCACTGTGAGTCAGAATCAACTCGACGACAATGGGTTTTTGGTTTGGTTTAGGAAGTTTAAAATTACCTACATGTTTCACATTATATATTTCCATTGGATAATGCCGGTCTAGTTAGACTAACAGTTCCAGGCAGCACAAGCTCCACCCCTAGTCAGTAGTCTCATCTATCTCGTCAGGCAACTTATCATTTCTTCACAAAGTCTTAGCTATCCCAGGGAATGAAGGAACCTTAAAAACTGCCTAATCCTAATAGCCACCTCATGCTTAAATCTGCCTACAAAATCCACCCAATGGTTCTCCACTATACACAGAAATACTTCCAATGACAAGAAACTCACCAACTCCCAAAGCAACCCTTTTTATCTTTCGAGAACTCTTAAGAATTAGAAAGTTCTTCCTCATAATGATGAAGATCTACCTCCCCAGAGGGCTGATGTTACCCCTACCTTCCTCCTTGGGATCATTCAAAAAAGACTCAAGAAAAGGAAAAACTATCATTTGCAGACCACTTACAATGTACCAAGTACTGTGTAAACTTTAGTTTACTGTAGCATTTAACCCTCACAGCCACTCAAGAAGTAGGTACTAGTGTTATCTCCATTTTACAACAGGCCTGTAGTCTTAGAGAGATAGTGATCTGCCTTGGGTACCAGTCAGAAAGTGGTGGATTCCAACAGAGCTGGTGGATTTCTAAACACCTTCATTCAACATTGCCTTTGTGGCTATGTTTCCAACATTTCCCTCTCTCCTGGTCATCCAGCCTGTTAGCAGTTACAGGCATAATCCAGAAGCAATCCTGCCCTGGCCAGACAGGGAAGCACCTACCTGTCTCAGCAGCCCCAAGGATGTCCAGTTTGTCACGGATGGCAGGTGCCAAGGTTAGCGCTTGGATTGGTGTGGGTGCAGAAAAGCCTAGAAAGCTGAGTGCTCGGAGTACCGCCTTGGGCACAAACAGGTCCTTCCAAGCTGACACATCAGCCTTCTGGTCATGCATTTCGGGCATCCATGTTTTCGCCTTTCTGGGCACCTTCGGAGTAGTGCCCTGGGAAGGCTCCAATTTTTTTTTCCCTTTCTTTTTCTTCTTTTTTGGAACAGTGTGGGCCTGGCTTCCTGATGCTATCTCTTCCACCTCTGGCTCAGGACAAATGGAGCCATCTTCCTGAAGCCCTAGCTCAGCATCTTTTACCTCGAATTCTTTCTGGGCACTGGCACCTTCAGTTTCCACATCTTTACTCTTCTTCAACATGACTTTTTTCTTTGGGGAGCTGGCCTCTCCTTCCTCCTCTCCTTCTGAAACAGCTTGTGCCTTTCTCTTCTTGGGCTCTTCCTTTGAGAAGAGGCTGGAGGGATTCTTGGCAGGGGAGACCAACTGGTAATCTGTCAGTTCCTCAAAGCACACTAAGTCATCCATCTGTCCATCTGCAAACATGTTGGGGTCAATCTTCACCTGCTTCCATTTTCCCACAACTTTGATTCCCTTCATCTGAAATTTGTGACACGTTGGTGGCTTTGGCCTTGATTTTGTCTCCTTCAACTTCATGGTTGCTGAAAATGAGAGAAACATTCTATTAGGTTGGCAACTGAGAAGTATGGCGTTCTGAGGCAATATATGACACAAATGAGGACACAAGATGGTCTAACATTGATACTCCCTGCTAGAGAATATCGAAGAGGGGAAGAAATACACCCACCAAAAACCAAACCAAACCCACTGTCGTTCAGTCAATTCTGACTCACAGTGACTCTATAGCAGATGAATGCATATATGTGAACGTGAAGGCACGTGTGACTACATGTGCGTGCACGTATAGGTATACCTGTAGGCACATGTATATACACGTTTGTGTGTGCTGCATATATTCATATATATAATAAAGCACATAGGGAACACAGTTACAGAGACTTCCTAGGCATATTCAAACACCTCATGGGATTGGTTTACTGGGTTTGAAGGCTCAGGACTATAGTCTCATAGCACAACTCAGTCAACTGGCATAACAGTTCATAAAGATAATGTTCTACATTCTAATTTAGTGAGTAGCGTCTAGGATCTTGAAAGCTTATGAGTGGCCATTTAAGATACAATTATCGGTCTCTACCTGTCTAGAGCAAAAGAGAATGAAGGAAAACAAAGACTCAAAGAAAGAAAGTAGGCCACACGACTAACAGCCCACATGAACCACAGCCTCTTCTAGCCTGAGACCAGAAGAATTAGATGGTGCCCAACTACCACTACCAACTGTTCTGACCTGGGATAGAACAGAAGGTCCCAGATAGAACAGAGAAAAATATAGAACAAAAGTCAAATTCCTAAAAAAGCCAGACCTACTGGACTCATAAGACTAGCAGAACCTCCAAGACTATCGCCCAAAGATACCCTTTGAACTTGGAACTGAAGCTACTCGCCGAGGTCACCTTTCAGCCACATAATAGATTGCCTTATAAAATAAACAATATCACCTGTAAGTAATGTACTTCCTTAAACAATCAACTATATGAGACCAAATGGTCAAGATTTACCGAAAAGCAAAGATGAGAAGGCAAGGGGGGGGGTGGGGAAGCTAGATCAATGGAAACACAGCAAACAGAACGGATATAATAAGAATGCCTACACACTGTGAAAATTGTAACCAATGTCAAGTAACGATCTGTATAAAAATTGTTAACTGGGAACCTAATTTTTGCTGTCTAAACTTTCACCTAAAACACAACAAAATATTTTTAAAAAAAGAAAAACTACACCCACAGAAGAGACAGCTTGGTCTGGAACAGTGGAGACATGGGAGATAGAGCAAAGACACATGAGCTAAACCTGGTTTAGATTCCAGATCCAACACGTAACTGCTTGTGGGATCTTGGACAGTTCTACTTACTTCTCTCTGAACCTCACCGTTCTCATCTTTAAAAGGGGAGAGGACTAATAATACGTAAGTCACAAAATGTTTTACGGAAGTAAATGAAACATTATGCGAAGCATGGAGGGTAAAGCCTGCCACACATTAGCCCTTGTGAAGGCAAAATAAAAATGTGGGGTTTGGGGTGGGGGGATTTGGGTCAGATAAAGGGGCAAGTTTTCTTAAAAGCGCACCGGAGCATTTTTCCTTTTCAAGCCTCACCCCAAGCAAACAGATGCCTGTTCCACCATTTTGGCATTTGCCAAAATGGCTTAAAATCCATCCAGCTTTTTCAGTATATTTTAAATGATTTAAAGACCATTTAGGCACAAGTCGTTTGGGCAGAACTTAACTCAAGTCCTCCCTTTTCAGAAAGGCCAAGAAACACAGCATATGGTGTGGAAAAGGTCAACCTAGGTTCAAACCCGGACCCACCACTTGTCAGCTCTGGGCCTCTGGTGGATGGGCTCATATCTGTAAGCCTCAGTTTCCTCGTCTGTAAAAGGAGGGTGACGAGGGTATTTGTCTCACTGGATCGTTAGGAGAATATAAAAAAGTGACGCATGTCAAAAACCGCTTAGCATGGCGTCTGACACGAAATAAGCGAGTAAGCACGAATGGAAAGTTTCGCCCACCACGCAAGCTACGTCATGTTCACAAATAATCGGGGTTCAACGATAAGGAGGGGGCGGCTGTCATTCAAATTCGGGGCGAGGACGCGGAGTGCAAACTGCAGAGCATCAGGGTCCCTCCTCGCGGCGCCAGACTGCGCCCGGCTCCGTGCCTGGCGCTCTCCCCTCGTCTCAGGCACGAACGACCGCACAAAGCCGAGAAGCCGAGAATGCCAAGCCTTTACGCACGAGGAAGGGCCCTGGGTGCGGGGAAGGACCCGGGAAAGATACGCAGCTTGGCTGCGCGGCCTGAGGCGGCGGCCGCCCACTCAGGATCCAGGGAACCTAGCGGCCCGGAGAGGCCCACGATGGGAGCGCCGGAGCCCGCCCCCAACTCCACTCTGGCGCCGACCCCAGTCCCGCTCCAGCCCCGGTATTCACCGTGTGGCGACGCCGCCGAGGAATCCTCAGACCCAGCCAACTGCCTCAGAAAACGCCGCGGCCACCCCTTAGGGGAAGCGTCGCCTGCAGTTCCGGGGCGGGGTCTCCACTCACGTATGCGAGCGCACTGCGAAAGGAAGTTCCTCCCCAACTCTAAACGCCGCAACCTGATTCGCTGCTGCGCGGGGTCTCAGGCTTCTGGTAAGCCGGCCTGGAGAGCCGGAGCTGACGGCGGTTTTCCCTTCCTGGGTTTAAAAAGCCGGCGGAGTTCGGTGTGCCCCGTCCGAAAGGGCTCTGCGTCAGAAATACATGGGAACGCAAGTGCTCTTGTATTATTGGGCTAGTTTTCATGTGTCCAAGAGCAAACGGGAAACTTAAAAATCGAAGTAATGAGTTTTATTGAAGGTATAAAAACGTTTCGAATCCGGGAAAACGAGAGTCCATGACATGAACTAAGCGCTCCACCGGAGGGAATTTTTCGCAGAGTTTAAATACTGTACTAGGGTAAAATCTTTTTATATTACAGCAAGAAGAAAGATTCCGCATATGTTCTAAGAAGCAAAAGTGGGAAACGTGCAAACATGCTGCCAGAGCCAAGTCTGCCCAAGTTCAAGGAATGTAACAGAATCAGTATACGCTGACATTACAAATGGGTAAAATCATTAAAAGCTTCACCTTTTCACAAATTGGCTAAAAACTGCTAAATGACCGTGATTCTACGTTTTGAATTTTCTTTCTTAATAATCATTGGGACAAGCTTCAGTAAAACTCCAGAGTCTTCATCGGCCCAACAAACTTTGGGTGTTAGGTGCTCGCTAGTGGGTTCTGACTCATGGTCACCATATGTACAACAGAACGAAACACGACCCTGTCCTGCTTCATCCTGACAATCATTGCCATGTCCAAAGTATGTAAGACATAGTCTCACCACGCTTGCTTCTAAGGAGCACTCTGGTTGTACTTCTTCCGAGACACACCTGTTTGTTCTTTTGGCACTCCATGATATATTCAGTATTCTTCGCCAACACCACAATTCAAAGGCATCGATTCTTCTTTGGCCTTCCTTATTCACTGTCCAGCTTTCGCATGTATATGACACGATTGAAAATATTATGGCTTGGGTCAGGTGCACCTTAGCATTCAAGGTGACATCTTTGCTTTTCAGCATCTTTGTAGGGCTGCGGTGAGCATTAAATGAGATGACCTGTGGACGCTCTTGGCACAGGCTCATGGTTAGCGTCTCCCCCACAGTCTTCTAGATGAATTGAAAGCTGTGCTCTGGCCTAAAGCCCCTTGCTTGGCCTTAGCCCTGGCAGCTGCACTCTAATGGCTCTGCTAATCAATGTTTGAAGTTCACGGTGATGGAGCCCCAGGCCCTGATCCTAAAAGCCTAGCTTTGCCAGAACAAGTTCTCCTTTTTCTTCTTTTTTTCAAATACCATAAACAGCTTGACCTCTGTGCTTTCCACGGCTAACACTGATCCCTGGAGGAAATCAAGTTCAAGAAGCTCTCTCAGGAGTTTCAAACGCTCCTGGGTGCACATTCAAACCTTGCATTCAAAAACTAGAGAATATGCAAGTCACCAAATGGAATAAACTGAACGAGTATCACTGAGCGTCGATCAGGTATGGTAGGCTGAGTAACTGGTCCCAATTCTTCACCTGTCTCTGTACCCACATCCTTGCCAAGGCCTCATTTTGGGCAGAGCGTATTCCCCACCCCTTGACTTTGGGCTTCACCGTGGACTTGCCATGGCCAATGAAACAAGGTGGAAGTGACAGTGTGCTGGTTCCAGGCCTAGGCCTGTGGGGGCTTCTTGTTTCTATATCACCGTAAGAAGCACTTCCTCTGGAAGCCGCCACCCCATCCAGCCCAGTCCTGAAATAAACACACGTGGAGCAGAGCCCCATCACCTAACCCCGGGATGAACACATGAAGTACAGAACCCCACCACCTGACTCCAAAAGGGGAACACATGTGAAGCAGAGCCCCACAGCCTGAACCGCAGATCAGTGGTCAAAATCAAAGCTGCTACAGCTGCCATGGGGACAGAGATAGTGGTGGTGGTGATTTGGTGGTAGAATTCTTGCCTTCCATGCAGGACCAGGGTTCGTTTCCTGGCCAGTGCACCTCACGCACAGCCACTACCTGTCCATCAATGAAGGTCTGCATGGTGGCAAAAAGGTTAAGCACTCGACTTCGAAATGAAAGGTTGGCATTTGAACCTGTCTTAGTTATCTAGTGCTGCTATAACAGAAATACCACAAGTGGACGGCTCTAACAAACAGAAGTTTATTCTCTCACAGTCTAGGAGGCTAGAAGTCTGAACTCAGGGTGTCAGCTCCAGGGGAAGGATCTCTCTCTCTCTCTCTGTCATCTTTGGTGGAAGGTCCTTGTCATCAGTCTTGCCCTGGTCTAGGAGCTTCTCAGCACAGGGACCCCAGGTCAAAAGGACAGGCTCTGTTCCTGGCACATCTTGCTTGGTGGTATGAGGTCCCCCTGTCCTTCTGCTTGCTTCTCTCTTTTATATCTCAGAGATTGCCTCAAGATACAACCTAATCTTGTAGACTGAGTCCTGCCTCATTAACCTAACTGCCTCTAATCCTGCCTCATTAACATCAGAGAGGTAGGATTTACAACACATAGGAAAATCACATCAGATGACAAAATGGTGGACAATCACACAATACAGGGAATCATGCCCTGGCCAAGTTGACACATATTTTTGGGGGACATAATTCAATCCCTAACAGAACCCAACCAGCAACTCCGTGAGAGAAAGACATGGCAGTCTGTTCCAGAGAAGACTGCAGCCTAGAAAACAGTTCTGCTCTGTTTCACGGGGCTCCTACGAGTCCAAATCAATCTGATAGCACCTAACGACAATGACTTAGGTTCCAGACTAAGATGAACTAGGAAAAAAGGCCTAGTGAGTCACTTCCAAAAATCAGCCAATGAAAACCCACAGATTGCAAGGGTCTGACAGCAGCTAACGATCACGGCTGCCATGGTTTGAAGCACAGCCTCCCAGCCAAGCCCAGCATAGATCCGCAGAACTGCCCCAGCATGCCTACAGATCCATGAGAAAAAAAAAAATTGTTGTTTTAAACTACTGAGTTTTGGGATCACTTATTATGCAGCATTATTGTGGCAGAAACTAAATGGTGATACATCATGTGACAGACTTGAAGAAATGAAATGGGAGGAAAAGAAATGGGGAGGCAGAAAAGGAGAGCCGGAAAGAGAGAGGTGAGAGTTCCTTATAAAGTCTGACGCGGCCTGTTGCACGTTCTCACCTGCAGGCACACATAATCATTGCACATCTTGGTGTCACATAGCCCGGCCATACCAGCTGCGCAGAATCCTGGGAAACAAGGGAAGACCAAGCCCAGAAGGAGGGGGCAGTTTGCAGGGATGCAGAAAGCCGCTGCCGAACTGGGAGCACCCAGGATACAAGAAAGCCATGCAGAGCTAGGAGCACCCAGGATACAAGAAAGCCATGCAGAGCTGGGAGCACCCAGGATACAGGAAAGGCACTGCAGAGCTGGGAGCACCCAGGGAGGGGCCAGCAGCAAGGACCAGGTCTGCATTGAAGGTGAGGGAAGATCAGGAAGTTGAAGTTACACCCTACTGGGACGATGGGCATAGCTTTGGAAGGCATGACAGTGTTGGTCAGAGTGTTAACCTCTAGCCAAGGCAGGCCAGGGGGAGCCAGATGGAGCCCAGCTCCTGGGAGTGGGAACTGGCAGACATTAGGCAGGGGTCAGGTTATAAGAGGCAGCAACTCGAGGGAACAGGAAGGAGTCAAGCAGGTGGATGAGGCGCCCATTGGTGGCATTCAGGGGACCTTGGTACTGTGAGGGTTCTCACTTACTGTAGTGGGTTAGAGTGATGGCCCTCCAAAAGATATGTCTACATCATAACCCCCATATCTATTCATGTGACCTTATTTGGAAAAAGGGTCTTTGCAGAGGTAATGAAGTTTAGGATCTCCAGATGAGATCATCCTGGATTATCCGGGTGGGCCCTAAATGCAATGACAAGTGTTCTTACTAGAGACGGAAGAGAAGACACAGAGAGAGAGAGAGGAGGGGAAGGCCATGAGAAGATGAAGGCAGAGACTGGAGTGATACAGCCACAAGCCAAGGAATGCCAGGAGCCACCAGAAGAGGCAAGGAAGGATGCTCCCCTAGAGCCTTCAGAGGGAGCCCGGCCCTGCTGACACCTTGACTTCTAGCCTCCACTACTGTGATGGAATACATTTCTGTGGTGGTCAACCACGCCGTTTGTGGGGCTTAGTTCCGGCAGCTTCAGGATGCCTGTACACTCCTCCAAGCCGAATCACAGCACAGAGCTGTCTGCTCAGGGAAGGATTCCTCCACCACACCCCCAAAAAATAATCCCTCAGAAAGACTCTCCTTGTACTTAAGCACTTAAAAAGTCTCTCATCTAAGGGGTGGCCTCTTGTCTATTTTGCACACTGAAGGCTGTAAGCGGGAGTCACACTATGCCTCCTGGGGATGTGGTCTCACTTGCCTCTGTTGTCATTTATTTTGGCATTTGAACTGCAACTCTTCTTGTATTAAAACACTATTTCTCAATAGACTCGTCTCTATCCACAGTAGCACAGTGGAAGATGGGCTGGGAGGACCCCGTGTGCCAACGAATCGGGAGAGAGGATTTATATTTTGAAGGTATGTTCCTGATTGTTTAACACCTGGGTAGGTCCCTGATCTGCCTCCCTACCTGGTTGTGAACCCCAGGCCTAGGCCCCTTGGAGGCCTCCCCTCCCCTACAGTCCCACAGTTCCCCCTTGGCTACTAAGGAAGGTCCTGGCAGGGTCGGGGGGTCTTTCCTCCCAAGCAAGAGGGGACCAGACCGGGCCTATCTTTCAGCACTCAGTCTCATGGAAGAAGAAAGACACCAATGAATGAAACTCCTGAAAAAGAACAAATGTAAGGGACAAACACCTGGAAATGTCAGGGGCCTGGTACCACTGAGGTGAAAGGCTGCAAGCCCAAGCCCAGCCTGTATCGGGGCGGCCGCCCACTTTCCTACAAACACACCCCATACCTGCCAACCAC